TCAGTATCTAGCAGTGTGCAGTACATTAACCCCTCTCTCTGCATAATCAGTATCTAGCAGTGTGTTAAACCCCTCTCTCTGTGCATAATCATTATCTAGCAGTGTGCATTTTTAAACCCCTCTCTCTGTGCATTTTCAGTATCTAGCAGTGTGCAGTGCATTAACCGTTCTCTGTACATTATCAGTATCTAGTGGTGTGCAGTGTGTTAAAGCTCTCTCTCTTCGTTGTCGGTATCCGGCAGTTTACAGTACATTAACTTTCTCCCTGTCCTTTGTTTTCTTAGCGGGGGTGGACCGAGGGCAAGGGGGGGTATTACTCCTTCAGCTCCCAGCAGCAGCGCACAGAGGAAGTGTCCATTCCTTCCACAGAGTTGGCACAGCAGGTCATAGAATATGCCCGGCAGCTGGAGATGATCGTGTAGCAGCACCTTGCAGCGTGGGAGAGCAACTGCAGATATACAGACACAGACGCACAGAGACAGACATGCAGAAGCGCAGAGATCTATACAGCGATGTGTAGGACATCGCCAGACATACCCCCATAAGTACCTTGTCCATGACAGATGCACACAGGTGGGCAAGTTCACGCACCGAGGGACTGACACGCATGCATTTGTGTGCCTGTGTGTGAGTGTCTGTGTGTGTAATGCAGGTGTAATAAAGACCTAACTGCAGCAGCCGGCGGTGACACTCTCCTTACTGGACCTCTTCGCTGTTTGCCTGCTGGGCACCCACGTCAGGCTCCCGTCAACACTAACATTGTGTTGCGACAGGGGCCTGCCCTCCGAGAGCCGGCCTGGACACAACGCCAAGCACAAAACAGAGCAGACCGGGCACATGAGGCCTTGTGTGACACGCAGGGCCTGACAGCGACGCTCTTGACAGGAAGCTGAGCGAGGCAGGAAGTGTAGGAGGCCTGGCTCCTCTGATTGGAGGGGATGCTCTGTGGCCAGCAGGGCTCTGTGTCTTAATCCTTCTAGGATTCCCTGCCACCCCTTAACAGCTAATCGGGCTGCCATTGGCTGTGCCGTCTGAGCCACAGTCTGAGGCCTTTCTGTTCAGTACTGATCCTCTGGCGGTGTTTGCGGTGGTCTGTTGAGATCTGATCCATTCACAGTGTGCATCTGGTAGAGCAGCTTGCGCTGTTCCAGGCTTTTCCGGTTTGACTAGCTGTGTGAGGAGTTGGATAGTTTTAACTCTTTGTCCAAAACACATATGTTGCAGCCTGGCCTATAATTGCGCAGCTTGTGAACACACGGTCAGATCAGCTCTGCAGAGAACGGGCTCGGGTGGCCTGCAGAGTTTAGGAGCTGGTGCCCACTTGGCCCGTTGGTGTGGGCGCGGAGCTCGTTTCGTCCAGCTCTGGCCCCGGCACCAGGCGTCTCGACCACCTCTCCCTTCCCGGGAGAAGGCCTCCAGCACACCCTGCAGCAGCTGCTGGTGCTGTAGTTGACATCCTCGACATTGTTTGTAAGGCAATAACTGTCCGAGCTCACAGTAGGCTGGGAAATAGAGAGGCCATGACGTCTGTGGACTATACATCACTGCAAGGAAAGAACTGCTGTTGGCAAAAATGCTTTCAAGTAGCTATGCTGTAGTTCTGCATCTGCCCACTAGAGTGTGCTCTGTCAAGGTAACACCAATCCTTGTTCTCGTTTCCTAGCGAGAGGTGAGAACAATGACTGCTGTCCAGTTCTGACTTGTTTTGCCCCCTGGTTCTTCATGTGCGTCTTCTCACAAAAGAAGTTGTTTATTCCTGTGATGTGACTTTTACTGTAATATATATGCCAAATAAAAAATAAAACCCCTTTTCCACTTTTGAACAGGTCTTTTCCTTTGGACAGCAGTCAATCTTTATGCAAAAGAATGAAGAGGTTTGTAACCTCTTCAGCATTTGATGAAGAGGTGTGATTGTGAAGATGATCAGACTAAGTGTCTTTACAGTGTCTACAGGTCTGATGATGATGGTGTGTTAAAGGGAAGTTACAGATGATGACTTGAGTCTAAGCTCTGAGGCTCCTGACAGGCAATAAACAGATTACGAGTTTCCTTGGCTACCAAAATGAATTTAATTATAGGCTGTACTATTAATTTCAGAATGAAACAGGATCAAATGAAAGTTTAATTGATAGCATAGCACATTAAAAAAAGCAACAGCATATACAGTAACATTTTGGATATTTTAATTTAAAAATGATCTGGTGTTGAGTTTTTTTGTATAATGTTCAAAACGTTTTTTCTAGTTTCTGTGTGACGATGAAGGAAACCAACTGATTTCTGATATGCTGTTTCTTTACAGTATTATACAGTTCAATAGTGTTGCCATTGTTTATCTTAAAGTACAGTAAAGACTGTTTGAGGAAGCGGGTGGTTGCCGGGCGCGTTGTCATGGTTACTGTCCAGTGTCCCCTCCCTCGCTCCGCAGTGTCGCTCTGGCCACCAGTGAAGCTGCTAGTGTTACCGTAGTGACCCACGCTGGCTCACACAGGAAGTTCTGCTGTATTGCCAACCTGAGGGTGGTGAGAGACAGGAAGTGAAATGGATGGAGTGAGACAGAGAGAAGGGGCTGGTGGGAGATTTAGATGTAGCTATGGATTGCAGTTCATTGAAAATTTAATTCACTTTAATCTATTGTATACAAATCTGAGGTCATGCATACTGTGTCTGTCAAGGATAATGCAAACTTCCTGTTGAGTGCCCATCAACCCAACTATATTTTTACCCGCTGAAAAGAAGAAAGAAAACACAACGTTTCGGCTGTGGAGCCCTATCTTTCTTACACCCGGAGAAGGCTCCAAGGCCGAAACGTTGTGTCTTCTTCTCTTTTCAGCTGGTCAAGATATTGTTGGGTTGATAAGCATTCAACAGGAAGTTTGCATTATCCTTGATAGATAACAGGAATAGCAAAGGAATAAACCTTTACCTGTTTCTTTGCAGCCTACGCACGGTGACGCAGCTGCCCACCTGAACTATATTTTCACCTGTATATATTGAGCAACATGTGTTCAATTAGCACAGATTCTGTACATAATCCTTTAAATTGCTGCAACTTGTTTTAAATTTTTCTACGTGTTAATTACGTCGAGACAAGCAACCATAGTCAACTGTTTTGGCCATTATGTTGCTAACATGGAGCAGTCATCAATTAGATTTACATGTGCTCTATAAATCGTTGTGATTCCTTTTTTTTGCCTTTGCAGACACCTTCACAGGCAGTGACATACTGTAGTAGTACTGTAGCAGAGTAACCTGTGCTGCTCTGTAGAATGAATACTATAGATGGAGATCAGCTGTGTGTTCCCCTGTAGATTGAAACAGACTACAGTCCAGGCAGAGACACACAGGCAGTTCTCTCTCTCACCACTGGGCGACGTTGTGGGGCAGCGGAGCGTTGGCGTGGTGATGGCAGCGAGCCTGGCGTGAGCAGGAGGGGTCAGCGTGGAAGGACGGCCAGCGGCCCTGCGGGCGGCGCGGGGGGTCCGGGGCCGAGGGGCTGGATCTCCTCTCGCTCTCCTCTCTTTCCTCCTCCTCCTCCTCCTCCTCTCCCGTGGGCCTGGGGCAGGAGCAGGGGGCCTGGGGCTGGAGTTTCAGCTCGGCCTGGGCTGGGGGAGCCGTTGCCTGGGCGGGGGTGGGGCCCGGTAGGCGGGAGGACCGGGGGCCGGGGTGTGTGGGCCAGGGCTCCAGAGCGTGAAGGCTGTGGGAGGACCGCACTGGGCCCTGGGGCTTCTCCGGCCCCCAGGAAGGGCAGCGGTGGGGGTAAGGGGTCGGGGGCAGGTGTCTTACTTGAGGCTGGCGCTGTGACGCAAGGTCTCCAGACTCGGGCAGCGGGGTGAAATTGCAGCGCTGCACTGTCGCAGCTGGGGGGCTGCTGGCCTCGTGTTCCTCCTCGTTAGAGAACCCTTCCAGCTTGACCGCACTGGCACCATCCTGAGCGCCTGGGGTCCCTGGGGCTGTTGGTCCCGGTATTTGCGCCGTCACGCTGGTGCTGCTCCCGGGCTGGGATTTCCTGCCCCCTGCTGGCGAGACGCTGCCTTGCTTCTTCGCCTGAGCGGTCCCCGCCCGGCCGCCGCCGCTGCTGATGCGAGCTGTGGTGTGCGCCTTTCTCCCTCTCGCCACCTGCCTGACGGCTCCGATCCGCGTGGGGCAGGGCTGGGGTGGCGGCCTGGGCTGCCGGGGGGTGCCGCCCTCCTCTCGCGAGATGGGGGTGCTGGAAGTGGGCACTCTGGGGCCAGCGGCCGGTGTGCCCACACTGCAGGGCAAGTGAGAAGTGGACGATTGTGCAGGAGGTTTCACGGCCTTATTGCCCCGGGGGTTAGTTGTCAGTTTGGTTACGGGGGTGATTTTGACGCTCTGTGCGGGGGCTGTCACGGGCTTGGTGGGTGGGTTGGCTTCTGGGGTGCTTGCGGGGGCAAAGGTTTCCTTCCTCATGGCCCCGGGGGCTCGGTGGGCAGTTCTGGCGGCAGGAGCTCTGACAGCCTCGGAGTACGACGCGGCCTTCATTGCCCGACGTACAGCTGCCTGCACCTCAGACACTGGGGGAGGCGGAACCAGCTGTTGCTGCTGGAGATACCGCAGCCTGAAGATGAGCAGACACAGGGGTCTGACAGTGAGCCAGACAGACACAGGGGTCTGACAGGAACCAGACAGAGACACAGAGGTCTGACATTGAGCCAGACAGACACAGAGGTTTGACA